TCATCATTTCTAGCATCACTCGTTGGCGGCCCGCACCAGGCCGGCCCGTGTAATCATGCGTTTTTGCAGTATTTGGCGCTAAAATCACTTGGATTTCCAGTAGCTGAAATTTGTGGCATCTGGTCCTCGAAGTTCAGGAAGTTGATTGTCAACTATGTAGTACTTGGGCAAAGGAGACCCCTACAAAATTTAAGCCTCCCAGCCTTTCGGGTTCCCGAGCTAGCGATTCTTCCTCCAAAAATTTTCACGGGGCCGTACGTGGGAATCACGCACACCTGGAGGCTGAATTTGAAATCCTTGATAACCTCAAAATATTAGCTTCCTGGCATTTCTGGTTCTCGAGTTAGTGGTTCCTTTGCCACAACCTTCACTCGCTCGTGCGCGGGGCCCAGACGTGCGTGAGGATTGGTGCCGTGGTCTCGGAGTGACACCTGGCCGAGGAATCTCCACTGGCAAAATTCTGGCGCCGGAGCTTGCTTGATTGCCAAGTTAAAATATCCGGGCAAGCGCACATACACACACACACACGCACACACACGCATTGATTGTCACAACATATATTTTTGCATTTGCACGTACACAAAACGCATAAAAACCGATTCTTCTTTTGGGCATTGGGTGTTTTGTGTCTTCAGCTACGACTAAAATTAAGCCTCAAGTCCAAAGTGTTGAGGCCTAGTGCGCCTCAGAATGCAAGGCGAGGTACCCATGCATTCGCTGTCTGTAATGGGCGGGAAGTGATCTAAATACATCAATAGCGCTAAGAGATGAAACACAGCCTGCATCACAATCTGTTCAGTCCATATCATATCTTGATCTGCGACGTATCTAACTTCAGGCTAAAATTAGATTTCCGGGGCACACTACACATTCATAGTTCTGATGCTTTAAATCCCCCTGGTTTGCACGCTTTCCTTTCCTTGCATTCGTACCAGTTAATGTTTAAACTTCATTCAGTCCTTTTTGGATGAACCATTCGCAAAAAAAGCATTTTTTTGGTGCAAAGCTATCCATTTCCCGAAGAATTCTTTTGCTAAGATCTATTAAAAAGAGTTGACAAGCAAAAAGAAGATCAAATTTCCATGTTAAATTTGTGATGCATTCAGATAAGCTCAGTATTTCACTACTTCACAGCTGATGAATTACATTGTGAAGTGGAAGCTCCTTGCTGGACAGCAGCTGTTCTGCACTGGACACACACACACCCACACATAAATATACACACCGACCTTACTTTCAGTGAATAATAATTTCTAGCAGAACCAGCTAATCACAGCATCGCATGAGATGGTAGTGATTTAGAATTTGAAATATCCTCAGTGCACGCAGCGGCACAGCTGGTTAGCACTTCTTTTTTGGCACTGCAGCGTCTGATATAACATTCCCAGACGAGCATTCTCGTCCGTTTTGGGTTGCCTTCACTCGCCCGCACTCTACCCGTTAGAAATTTAGCACCTTTGAACTTTGCTTGCTCAATTTCGTGCTGTTCTTTTGCTGGATTCCGCTTTTCTTCAGCGATACTTAGTATTCATTTTCTGAATAAATTTTTCACTTTACCGGTTTCTTACTGTGGGTGTGTAAGTTCCATCAGATAGACCTTGTGCTTCCTGATTAATTTTTGCTTTTTCCCCCTCACTCGATCGACTTTTGTGCACTTTTACAAAGCAAATTGCAAAAAACAATCGCTCCTTTGTGATTGAGTATGCAGCTGTCATCAGTATTTATCTAAGTTTCGATATTTATGCAAATGCTAATAAATGGACAACGCACGGGCTGCCCGTGCGAAGATGCGTTTTTTGCATGGCTCTCCGCAGTTTTTGTCGCTACCGGCACCGGTTTTTTGGCAAATGCTTCTAGCTAAACAAATTAAGACTGACGGCTATAACTGTCAGGAGACACCCCCTTAAAATTTCAGCTTTCTGGCTTTCCTGGCTCCCGAGTTAGCAACTTACTGAAAAAAAGTTTCACGGGCATGTACGTGGGTGCCATGTGTACCTGCAATCTGGGTTTGAGCTCAATGAGACTTAGGTGGACAGGAATATCTTCTTAAAATTACAGTGTTTTAGCTTTTTAAATTCCCGAGTTATCAACTTACCTGAAAAAAATTTTGGCGGGCCCGTACGCGGGGGCTGGGTTTGAAGCTCATTAAGACTTACGTAGACAGGAAACGTCCCCGTAAAATTTCAGCCCCCAAGCATTTCTGACTCCCGAGTTAGTAGCTTACCCGTAAAAAACTTCGGCGGGCTCTTACATGGGTACCACGCGGGTAATGGCGCCCATTTTGGGGATCCGAGCCCGCACGTGCATGTAGATTAAGTTCCCAGAGTTACAGCTCTGTAGCTTTTGTAGGTCTTGAGATGAAAAACCGTGACAAACGCGCGCACACACACACACGCACACACACACACGCACACATACACACACACACACACAAACACACGGACAACCCGTCGTCAATATGCATTTTCTGCTTTGCGTGGCTGCAAAAAACGCGCAAAAAGCATATGCAGAACATCAAAAGCTCGGATATATATAAGGTAACTGAACTTTAGCCCTCACATTCAACTCCGCCCTGGCGAAATTCCAGCTTCCTAACTTCTAAGGTTGCAAAGTTAGATGGCAAAAATGCGAATATATAGATAAATGTACATAAACACACGCTGACAAACTTTCTACAATATGCGTTTTAAACGCATAAAATTGAACAAAAGTAGTGTGAAGTAGTGAGGATCATCTACTCACTCGACATGGAATTGAATAACTTAGTGTTGGAACTTAGAAGCATTCTTTTATTCAGCTCAGCTAAAAACGAAGAGGAATTTTTCAGGTGCAACAATAACGACGAATTTTGCGGCTGCTGCAGCAGCGGCTGCGCAGCCGCGCCACGAACGCTACGCAGCACATATCCCGGTTAATCGCGGGGACGGAAGTGGCCGGCAGTCGGCTACAAGTGTCGAATCCAATAACAGGTCGATTATTTATTTATTTCAGTTTCGTTACGACTTCGTAATTTTCGCATGCATGCCTTATAGTTTCACTTTCGTTGCCTAAGGAGTTGCTAAATTTCCTACGATGTTGACGTGATGCAGCCCCACGGTCATCTCATCATTTTTATGCGTTTTGTGCTGTGTAACAGCAGTACAAAACGCATATTGTCACTGGGTTGTCTGTGTG